TGACCCACCTGGGCCCCTGGGGTACACAGGGCTCGGTACTGAAGAAGTTGTTTGCCCACCAACACAGTGCTAGGGCACACTGTAGGATCACTGAGCACCCAGAACCTCTGTAAGCCAAGGTTTGGGGAATCTGTAAACTGAGAATTTGGACTAAATGACTGCCACATTCGCTCTTGAGCCAGGAGCCAATTTAAATACCTCTGAGAAACTGGGAGCCCTTAATCTAAGGATCCTTTCTTCATCGTTGCAGTTGTCTCTGGCAACTGTCCCTCTAAATGGCTGTTTCCACAAGAAAATAAACTACGCTGGCGGTACAAACACATCTGCTGCCCTCCTGGGGCTCAGCGCTAGGACTGCGTTCTCCTGGGACACGCCGTGACATGCAGCTGTTGGAGGGGAGAGACGTTTCCCAGCAGCTGGATCATAGGGAAGTATGGGAGGGAGAGCAGATCTGCAGCGTGTGGTGACCACAAAACACACAGATGGGGGCCACTTAGCTGCCCCCGGAAGCTCACATGGCCACATGCATGCCTGCCTTGTCTCCAGTGGCCCCTCTGCCTACCTGTCAGGCTGTGGCCTCCAGGAGAGCTGGACGTGGAAGAGTTAGGGTCTCCAAACCCTTAGGAGAAGGTGGAACTTGGCTCGGTGAGATCAGGGACCAAGGCCCATATGGATGCTATGGGTGGACATGCTAATGGCTCCGGACACTTTAATACACACACAGGCACATAGGCAAGCACACATGTACTCAGGCTACAGGGTAGAGAGACACTTAGTATTTTTGTTTTTATTTTGTTTTGTTTTGTTTTTGTTTTTGGGTTTTTTGTTTGTTTGTTTTTGTTTTTTGGGGGGGGGTGTTTTGTTTTGTTTTGTTTTTTGTTTTTCGAGACAGGGTTTCTCTGTGTAGCTTTGCACCTTTTCCTGGAACTCGCTTGGTAGCCCAGGCTGGCCTCGAACTCACAGAGATCCACCTGGCTCTGCCTCCTGAGTGGTGGGATTAAAGGTGTGCGCCACTACCGCCCAGCTTGTTTTTTAATCTTATTATATTGCTCAAGCTGGTCCCAAATTCCTGGGCTCAAATGTTCTTCCCCCAGCTTCCTGAGAAGCCGGGATGAAAGGCACATGCCCCCAGGCTTTTCCCAAGATGCACTTTTTCTACCTGTGCTGGACCCCCGTCAACAATCCCACCTCCACTCGCCATGTGCAGTGCAAAGTGTCCTTCTGGCCCCAGGCCAGCAGACAGCAGCTCTCAGGAACAGACCAGCTCGCCAGACACAGAAACACCGAGCTCTGTTACCCCTCTGCAGGCATGCTGGTCATCTTCCCAGGGTCTGTCATCACGCCCCCATTCCCAGGCCTGGCCACTTCTCTTCCTGCCCACTACATGGCTGTATCATTCAGCCGAAGGTCAAGCTGGCACCCGGACTTCTGTCTCAGAGTCTCGTCCAGCCCATTGGCAAACACGCCAGTGTGGCTCTGGGACAGCTTAGATCCCATGTTGAGGTGGCATCCTAAGTGGCCTCCAAGTACTGGTACATGCTGCCTGGAGTCTTCCCACCAGGTAGCATCAGGCCCTGCCGATCTGCTCAGAACCCCCAAGACTGCTCATGTTAAGGTCATCACCCATGTCTTCCTCCTGGCCAGAGAGGCCTGTCTTCAGAGGTCTGGCTCTTTCCCAGCCTCCTGCTCCCTCTGTCCCCTGCTCCAGCTGCACAGGCTCCTCGATTTGGGGGTTCAAGGTCCCTTCACTCGTGTTCCCTTCCCCTGGAGGGCCCTTCCCTTGCATAGTCTCATTATATCAAAACTTTAACATTACTTCATGGGGCCTTCCTGACCCCTGCTACAGGATTCCATCTGCAGACAGTGTAGGGATCAAGTATCAGGGTGTTGGGTTAGAGCGGTGGTTCTTAACCTGTGGGCCTTGACCCCTTTTGAGGGTCAAAAGGCCCTTTCACAGGGGTCACCTAAGACTATCTACATATCAGATATTTACATTATGATTCATAACAGTAGTAAAATTACAGTTATGAAGTAGCGATGAAAATAATTCTATGGTTAGGGGTCACCACAACATGAGGGACTGTATTAAAGGGTTGCAGCTTTAGTAAGGTTGAGAACCACTGGATCAGAGAGAGGCCACCACAAGATGCCAAGTAGGACTGATTCTATCCTAAGACTTCAGACACATGTCACTTTGACCCATGTGACCCAGTGACCGAAGCTTGTCTGTCTCTTGGTGCTACCTAAGCAAAAGACAGAGAATGCAGAATAATAACTGACACAGTAATTTCCCTGCTCCTGGCTCTGGGGAGCAGGTGAGGAAGTCTTTCCTGCTGTGTCCCTATACCCCCAGAGGCCTGTGCCCAGAGCTGGAGGAATAGCCATGACCAGGGATCAGTCCTGATTCCACAGAGCCAGCAGGGGGTGAGGCTGCCTGCAGCTGGCGACCTTCCTCCTTGGCCTTGCCAGGTCTTAGCCTGGCCTGAGCTGAGGAGCCAGTCACAGCAGGGACAGTCCCAATTCTACCCAGTGGCAGCCCCTCCCCTGGATTTGCCAGATCCAGTGATGAGAGGACCCTCCCCTGTCAGGAGAGCCCTGTGAGCATTTCTTCCTGGGACAGGGCATGAGGGGACAACATGACAGGAAGAGGACCCCGAGAGCCCCTCAGAGGCTGTGGTTGAGGCTGGGCTTCTATAGCAGGTCGTGGAGGAATACACATGTCTAGCTCCCCCATCCACCCACTCATCCTGAGCGGGGGAGGGGGTGTGGGACTCCCTCCTCCCTGGACCCGCCTCTCACTATGGCTTCCCAAAGGAGACTGATGACCCCCCACTATGTCTAGGGTTCAACTCATCTATGTGAATGCACAGCATTTTTGGTGGGTAGGGCTGCTTTGAAGCAAGCTTCGAGAACCTTCAAGCAATCCTGTGTGTTTCCATTGTTCTCATTGTTTTCTGCAAGGGCAGATGTGTGTCTGCAGATTCTGAGGGACATCTCCCCAGGCTTGTGGGGAAAGATTCCAACCTGGTAGGTGCTAACTTGGAAAGGATACAAAGGGGGAGGGGCCAGGGGTCTCTGAAAGCCTCCAGGAGTCTCTGAAAGCCTCCAGCAGCCAAGACCAACAAACAGGAGAAGGTGGAGGACTACCCCTTACCAAGATGGCTACCTTGAGAGTCAACCCACAGGTGCCTATCCTGAGCAGTTCTGCACCAACAGTATCTCAGTGCTTCTTGGAGAGCTAAGAGAGGCTGAGGGGAACAAAGAGAGTCTTTCTGTGTAGTGCGGTCTTTCTAGGACAACTCTTCCTGGAGTATACCTGATGGCCGTAGCCATTCTCCACTTCTGACTGTCCCTCAAAGAGTGGAGATGCTAATTTTTGGCACATGGCCTCGGTATGCCCTGTTAGTCTTAAGAGACTGATGGTCACCCAGGAGGAGGGGAGAGGAGAGGAGAGGAGAGGAGAGACACCCCAGCAGCCCTGCCTGAGTCTGTGGAGCAAGGTCACACCAACACCTCTCACCCATGGTGTTTCCCTGAGGATGAGCCCATAGTAACAAGGAGGAGCTGTACAGGTTCCTGGGCCCAGGGCTTAACCCATCCTCTCTTTGGGGCCTCCCTCACCCCAGAATGGGCCTCCAGGGACAGCAACCTAGCTAGATAGTTCCAATAGGAAATGCTCTCCACAGGAGGCAAATGCCCCCAGAGGCCAGGCACCTAGGCCTATCTCCAGTGGAATCAGTGCCTGAACTTATTGGAAAATATGGCCTCCCGTATCTTTCCTTTTGCTGTCTCCTTCTTACCGTGGGTCAGTGCCCAGGTCAGCACTCAGAATAGCACACTTTGAGCTATGGAGATAACATCTACAGGAAAGGGGGGCAGCATGCCCATCAGTGTTCACCACCCACCCCGAGTACCCTCAGGACAGCCTGGCCCAGCTGTCACAGGCTCATAGCCCCACCCATCCTCCAAAGGGCCCTGACCAGTCCTCGCAGGGCTAGATGTGGCCCTGTCTCCTCACCAGCACTGCGTTGCAAGGACACTGTTCCTCTGGCCCAGGACCAGAGCTGCACTGAGCTCTCCATGAATGTGAGTCTCGGAGCTGGGGAGGTCACTAAACCCACAGCCTTGAGGGGCCAGCTTGGCCTGAGACCGTGAGTCATGTCAGACCTTTGTTTTCTGTCTCTGGTGTCTCACCCCATCTCAAGGCCCAGTGACCTCAAAGTCTACCCTGCCCCCATTCTACCCAGAGAGAAGCAAGGCTTAGAGAGACAGGGGTGTGATCCCGGGATAGCTAGCCTGCTGCTTCCTGCAGACAAAGTGCTCCGCTCTTGTGTTGGATGGTAGGGGAAGCTGGCAGGCCCGGGCTGTCTTCCCACTGTGCTGTGACTCACCCATCCTGGTGGGCAAGCCCCCGCTTCCAGGCTTGCTGCCCCCCGCTTCTCCCTCAGTCACAGCCCAGTCCCTGTGGGAGGGAACATGGTGACCTGGCCTGTGGAGCACTGTGGTGCCTCTGAGGCTCTAGAAGCTGTGAAGCCTTATGAATCACCCAGGGTTGTGCGCACTGTACAGTACTGTTATTCATCCAGGACTTTGTACATTGTGAAGTGCTAAGTGACCATGGTCGGCCATTCATTCATAGCAGGCTGTGGCAAACAGGGAAGCAGGGGTCACAGTCACACTGTGGACAACCCAGCAGTGCCCCAAGCCTTCCGGCACCACCTACACGAGGGTCTGGTGTGAACACACTTGCTGCCTCAGGCTGGAGTCCCTAGGGGACAGGAGATAGCCACCATGTCCTCCCTGCCCCCTCCCAGGAGAGGGACACTGGCTCTGAGGGTCTGACGTGAATTGGAACTCACTAGAGTTGACCCTGGGCTGGATGGTGATTGTCCACCGAGGACAGGGTCTGGGCACCAGCACCTTCTACATTATTGGAGTTAGATGCCCCCACTCCACCTCCATCTATCATAATTATTTTAATTAAGAAGATAAGAAGCAGCTTGTGAAAGACTTAATTATAATTAGCAGGTGACAATACTTGGGTGAGTCAAATAACCGAGCGGGTGCTGCTGGTTCACAGACTCCTGAGAAATTCACATTTGCAGTTGGCTACTGTGATGGACTGTGGCTACTGAGACAGTGGGAAGCCACATCTCCTAACCCTGGGAGGCGGCAGAGTTCCCAGCCCACCCCAGCAACGTGAGGATCTAGCCCTGAATGTCCCAACACTGGGTCGGCACTGCCGTGGCTGCCTGTGTCGTCACTGGGTCCTGAGTCCAGAGCGCCCAGCACACGGCTGGCACATTGCGGTCACTGAGCTTCACAACCTGTAATCCACGCTCTGGTGCTGTCTTCTGTCCTGGGCTGTGCACAGGACGCAGCTGGCACAGCTCACGTACAAGGAGCACACCTGGGCTGGCTCCTGGTTCACAGCAGGGACACACAGAACCTAGCGAGACGTGACCTTGCCCTTCATGTCCCGGAAGAAGTCCCGTCAGGGAAAGAGAGGTAACCCTCAAAGCCAAACAAAACCCAAGCTAGGACAAGGTGGCAGTCACAAGGCCATAGAGCTAGAAGCAAGGAAGCCACAGTGCCTTGGACCAGGGATGGTTTCCTGAAGAGAGCTAGACCTGATTTGGAGAGATGCTGGCTAAGGACAGCCTGGGGACCATGCACCGAGCCTGGGCCTGTGAGGTCAGCAACTGCTCGTAACCCCAGACTAGGAGTACAACATGAGCCAACTGGCTAGATTCAGTCTGCCCTAAGCCCGTTGCTGTGTGACGCCTCAAGGACCCTCGTGTCTTCGCTAGAGTCGCCCATGTCTGTGATGGTTAGTTTTTGGCTTTGTTTTTGTTTTTTGTCAAATTGACCCAAACTAGAGTCATCTGAGAAGAGTGACCCTCAACTAAGGAAATGCCTCCATTAGATTGGCTGTAGGCAAGTCTGTGGAGGCATTTCCTTGATCGATGGTTGGTGTGGGACGGCCCAGTCCACGATGGGTGGTACCACCCCTAGGTAGGTGGTCCTGGGTTATAGTTTAAAAACAAGCAGAGTGGTCCATGATAAGTAATCAGCATTCCTTAATTGTCTCTGTTCCCTTCAACAGTGGACTATAACCGCAAAGTGTGTGGCAAATAAACCCTTTCCTCCCCGAGTTGCTTTTGATCAGTGTCTTATCAGAGCAGCAGAGAGACAAGCTGGCACACTGTCAAATTGGGTTGCAGACCTTTCCTTCACAGGATGCAGAGTAGCCTTTTCCCTGAAGGAGGCTGACTAGGGCCTGCCTGGACTGGGCTAGACACCCAGTTGCAGGGGGTTGCTGGAGCTGCTAGATGGGCATGAGTTATCCAGAAGAGGAACCCTCGAGTTAGTTACACAGGGTTCTGAGGACCCAGGATGTGAGGGAAGGGCACAGGCCACAGGAGCCCCCCTCACCTCTCCAGCTCCTGGTGGCTCCCGGGTGTCCCTGCTTATGGTACACTTCTCTGGTCTTCTTGGGTCTCATGTAGCCTTTTCCCTGTATCTGGCTCAGGGCTTTCTCTTTTAGACACTGGCAGTAGATTAGTCTGTCCTCATTCAAGATGGTCACATCTCAAGATCCTTAATGGCCTCTCTGGACACTTAATAAGGCCATGCTTGCAGGCCTGGGGCTTAGGAGTAAGTGTATTGGGGAGAGACTCTCCAACCCACTTCACACTCCACTCCACAGATGCTCCAAGGGTGCGAAGAGCTGAACACTCAATGGCCTGTTCATCTGTAGCTGCCGGCAGCCCTTACGCATGGACACCGGGGCTCAGTGTCCTAGACGCAGAATCAGGACCAAGAATTAGAACCAGGTGGATGGGAACACCTTGTCCCCAAGTTGTCAGGGACTTGTTCGTTCTCCCAGCGTGGGCCTCTCTGGGCAGAATGCAGCTGGCCCATCTCCCCGAGAGGCTGGGAGCTTCCCTTTCACTGCCTCTGCAGGCCTCACACCAGGATGCCTGGATTTATTGCTGGTCCACTCAAGCTGAAAGGAATTGCAAACGAAATTAGCCAGTGATTTAAAGGGAATTGATTTTATCTGAAAGCCCTCTAAGCGCTGGCTGGCCCCATCCCCCACCCAGTGAAGGGAGTGGTGGCTGCCACTTTCTGATGGCCCACTCGCTCGCTTGCTCGCTGCACCTGATCTAATTTCCTGCCCTGGATGGCTCCTCCGGAGAAGGCTAGCTCCTCTGTCTTCTGCTGGCACCTGAGCTGCGAGGCAGGGCTTTGAACTGTGAAGGAAATAGATTTCCTTTTCTGCTTCAGCCCTGTGTCTCCCAAGCTAGCTGGACAGCCTGAACAACAAAGGAATGTGGGACTTCTGCTCTGGGATCGACTGCAGAGGCTGTCAGAGTCACAGTGCCGCTAAGAAGGGTGACAGGGATGTCCCCAACTAGTGCTCCTCTCAGGGGGATCCAGGCCCTGGGTGTGGAAGAGGCCGAGATCCTTGGCCCAGAACCTGAGTCACATGACCTTGAGAAGGTCAGGTTCCGCAGTGGGGAAGCTGTAAAATCAGAAGTATGGAGACCACCCACAGGTGGGCCTAGTATTGAGAGAGATGCCAGACCAGGAGCACAGTCCACTGCCAGGACTGTGTCTTTGGTCCTTAGCCTCAAGTCCCATTAGCCAAACTAGATGAGTCTGGGAGCCCTGCACAAGCCAGCACGGTGTTGGCCAGTCTTTCTGCCCCAGCCGAATCTTATCCGTCAAGCCGTGATCCCCGACCCGAGTCCTGGAGCACAGTGGAGGTGAATCTGAGTGTAGGGTCAGCAGCCTGAGCCTCACAGTGCTCAGAATACCTGTCTTTGCCGGAACCACAGCCAGGACTCTGGCTCCCACTTCACTGACAGTCGGGGTGAAAGCACTCCACACCTCCCCATGCAGAGAACAAGGGGAAGGGGAGACAGGCCATCTGCCCTGACCCTGGCCACAGCTTCACACAGCCAGTCCTTGCCTCACTCCTGTGCCCCTTCCATGCCCTTGCCCTGGCTCCTCCACCCTTGCCATTTGGCTGCCTGGGCATCTGCTTTTTCAAAACCGCCCACTTCAAGTCTAGATCCCACTGTCTGCTCCTCAACCCTGCACCCCCGTGGCCACCCCTCAACCCCGCACCCCCGTGGCC